ACAAGGGGCAGAGCTTGAAAGTCAATCTGGAAACAGCAAAAGCAGAGGGTGTTAGTGCTCCCACCTCCCCGCGGGGGAGCCGCGCTCTCTCGCCCGTGCTGTCATGTCTAAAAGCTGGCAAAAACGCTTCTTGGCTCTTGCCTTCTCCCGAGGGCAAGGCCGTGCGCCGACAGGTCGGTGCTGGCTCTGCCCCTGCCTGGCCCCAGCAGCCACAGGGAAAGGTCTGCAAAGCCTGCAGGCTAAACCTGCTCGCACGGGTATTTTCTTCCCGATTGCACGAGTTAAATCTCGGGTTCTGCCTGGGCGCTGACGGTGCCCGACTGCAGCAAGCGCACAGGCACTGCCCGAGCCGCTCCTGCGCCCGCAGCAGCTCTCCTGCAGTGACACCCAGGCCAGGCCAGCACCGGGTGATGCAGATTTTTGTTTACCAGCCTTGCAGCTATTTCTTGCCCAGGGATGAGTAGGAGGGATGCAATCCACCTCCTCTCTCTCATCTCCTGTCAAGTCCTCCCAGCTGAAGCTAACCCCATAATAGCAGCAGAAAGCCTTGCACTCGCATGGGAACTGCTGCCCTCCCAGCTAGCTTTCTAGGGAACCATTTTGCAATAAAACCAGGCTTCAGCCTCAGGGCCGCGGCGCTGCAGAACGTCAGGGAGGGCTGGGTACCCCCCCGCTGGCGTGGGATGCTGCGAAAGCCTGCTCTTACCTCTGCAGGTGCTCGGAGCTCAGGTTGGCCGTGTTCAGCACACAGATGTAGCGCGTGGGGAGGCTGCAGCCCTGGCGGGAGCAATGGGCCAACAAAAAGAAATCCTCCCTGAGAGGGATGAAAGGAAAAGGTTGGCGCAAGCCGGCCGAGAGCGCAGCTCGCAGCCTCTCCCGAAAGCACCCGGCATTCCCACTCACCACTCCGAGCTGGTGACCGTGTGGTCGATGACCGTCCCCGGTGGAGGGGACACTAAATTCTCCGCCATGGTCGAGTAGAAGTTGGTGCCGATTTGCTTCTGCACCACGATGACCACCATGCTGGGCTTGTAGTTTTCGAAGGTTTCGAAGCACTTCTGCAGCTGCGGGATCTCGTACTTCACTACCGTGTCGAGCTGGGTGTCGGACACGCCGTCTCTGTAAATCACTATCTTCCTGGGCAAGCAGTGATTCATCTGGGGAAGCACAAGCATGAGGTGGTCACTGGTGTTTTTCTGCACACCCAAGAGGACTGGCTGGCAGGGCACAGATTCGCTCCCTATTGCGCTGGCAATGGCAGAGCGGGCACGAAACGGCTGCGCCAACACTTTCTGGCTCAACTCTGGCGTATTTTGCCTGGGATGCAAACCCAGCCAGGGCCCTGATCACTGCTGGATCGCAAACAACGGCTGGCCTCAGGGGTGCCGAACATTTCTGGCAATATTCAGTCTCGACAAACACATTTCAAAGCAGGTTTCAGAGACTTTGGCAGCACAGAGAGAAGTGTTTGCTCTAATCCTGCCCATGGGGGACAATCGTAGCAAACTTCCATTTTCCAGGGCACTTCCCTAGCATTTGCACAGGAATAGGGAAAATTGCAAGTGTCCGAGTCTGTGAGCGGGCGGTGGCCGAGCAGAGCCCTGCTGCTGACGGGTCCCGCATAAACGGCCGGGGCGCGCGACGCACGCCGATGGCCCCTGCCCTGTCGCACAGACCCTTGCACTGCTTTTCTCACGCTGGGGATGTGGGACAACAGAACAAGGCTTAGTGGCTCAAGTGGCAATACGAGCAAAGGAGTAAAGTGGCACTTGCCCCAGTGCAAACTAATCCTCAAGGCAGGTTAGCACGTTCCTGAGATAAGAGTGAGCCTCCTGGGTCATGCTTGGGTCATTTCAGATTTTGCATCCAGTCCAAAGTCTGCAGAGTCTATTTACTCACTTGCATGAATTTAGGCTGACTACTTTTTTTTTTTTTTTTTAATTTTTTTTTTTTTTTTTTAAAAAGAACTACTGAACCCCCTCAGCCCAGAGGGCTTTCGGACAGCCAACACGTGGCACGCTCCGGGCTCTGCGGCTGCCTGCTCCCGCGGCCTCACCTCGTGGAAGCGCTGCAGGGCATCGGCCAGGCAGAGCCGCAGGCTGTCGGCGATCTCCTGGTGCGGCATCTGGAACACGACCCTCGAGTACCACTTTGTGAGGATCCTCGAGGCAGAGAGAGCCGAACGTTAGGCACCCGCACTCAGGAACCAAAGTCCAGAGCAGTTGTGCAAACTGAAATAAATTCCAGCTCAGCCTTTACAGCCGTCTTTCCCAGCAATACGGCACAAAGGGTGCATCAAAGACGACACTTGGTGCTAACGGCTAAAAACACAAGCACGTGTGCAGACCTTGCTGAGCGCAGCAGTCAAGGGGAAGTCGCTAGCTTCTCCCCTTTCTAGGAAAGGCGAGGCAGCACCATGCAGGGACGCGGCGGCATTAGCACAGGGCTCGCGGCGGGAGCGCAGCCAGGCTGCGCGACTGCCCCCGGCACCCCGGGGGCTGGCGGGGCGGCAGCAAAGGCTGGCGGCCGGGCAGAGCCGGCAGGACGCGGCAGAGGCACGGGAGAAGGAGGGTGCTCCCCCATGGGAGCAACGTACTGATTTGTGCTGGCGACGAAGCCGATCACGGAGCGCGTTGCCCTGCTGTGGTTGTGGTACACGTCCATGCCGATGACCATCAGATGTTTCTGCGAAGGCACAAGGGAGGCGGGAACACAGAGATGGAGTTAGGCACAAACACAACTCCCCGTTTCGCCACGAGCCATGTCTGAACACTTGAGGAATAAGTCTGAGGGCCTGTGGCCTGCCCTGCCCCTCTTCTCTCTAGCTGCATGCACAAAACAGAGCTGCCATACCCCAATTTTGCAGATGGTTTATCTGCATTCCCCAAGGGAAGCCTGTGATCATGACACTGCATCATTCAAGGCAAGTAACTGCTCTTGCAGCCACCAGAAAAATCTAGTGCTTAACGACTGGATTCGGCCCTGCCAGCACAGAGCAGCCTTACAGGGAAGCAGGACATTCCCCTGACACCCTGGCTAGCATGCTAATCACTGCACCCTCCCTTCCTCGCGCTCACAGCCCTGCAAGGGAACAGCAGGGACATTCCCCTGCCAGAGACTGAAGGGGAGGTTTCAGGGAGAGACTGAATGCCCCTTTCATTCAGCAAGCTTTTCCCTAGCAGAGTCAGGGAACAACCAAGTGTCTGTGCAAGCGCGTGCCAAGCAGGAGAGAGAAATGCAAAGTCAGTTTACAGCCCACGGCTTGCAAACTCATTGCACACGTGTGCACACAAGCACACGTGCATGCAGAGGCTCCCACGGCCAGGAGGTTTTGCACGCCTTACCAAGGGGATGTCGATTCCCCAGAGCTCCCCGCCCAGCTTGCAGTTCATCTGCAGTAGGACCTTCTGGGCTACGCTCCTCATCTTGCTGGCCTGGCCCATGAGGGTCTGTGCGTTGATGACCTGCGGTAATGGGAGAAGAGGAAAGCGAGGCCAGAGGAGTGCACTTGACCTCCCTGCACCCTCCCCTGCTTTGCAGGCTGCTGCTTTCGGAGGGGAGAGCTCCATGCTTGGAGGGCCTTGCAAAGCGCAGCGCTCACCTGCGACGGCACTGGGGACTGCACACAGCACAGCTTCTTGATGGCTCCGTACAAGTCCTCCCTGTTACCAGTGGTAATGCAGAGCACCATCTGCACCTTTTGCTGCAAGGAAGCGAAGCCGGGGAGGAGGAAACATGCAGAGCTGGCCTTTGCACAGCCCACTCACTGGCCACGGGACAACCCAGCCCCAGCCCGAGACGACCCGCAAACCGCAGCCTGGCAAGCCTCCCCTCCATCCTCGCTGGGCTCCCAATCCAGCCTCTGGGCCTTAGCAAGTGCAGTTACGGGCTAGCCTCGTTTAATGGCAATAACGAGCACCGAGGACCTGCCTATTGCAAGACCCTGTGGCAGCAGCGCATTGCCCTGCCTCTGCGGGGCTGCCTGTCCCACCCATAACCAACACAAGCTGGCCCAGGCAAGTCCCTCGGGCCACAGGGAAACCCCAGTCTGGCATGCGTTAGGCTATTCATCTAAGGCAGAGTGGTAATTCTTCCCCTCTCATTGCTGAAGGCCTTCGGAGACGAGGGCCCCCGCAGGGTTTGAAGCGCAGCCCCCCTGCAGATACCCACTTGGGCCCGAGCCCCTCCATCACCTCGCTAGCCAGTACGCATCTGATAGTCTTGGCGTAGGTCTCGATCCGGTCGTCCTTCAGCTCCACCCAGGCAGGCGAGTTCACCTGCATGCCAATCGGGCCGCACACCTTCTCCATCGTGCTCACCAGCTCTTTTGCTAGGTCCTGCACACGCTTCGGGTAAACCAGCACCCAGTAATTCATGGCAATCTAGGAGGGAGGCGAGGACAGGCCCTCGTGTTAGGACCGTGGCTCCCAAACTGCTGCGTTCCCCGGCAAGCGGTCCCGCTACGAGCCCGTCGCACCCAGCCGCAGCCACGTTCTGCTGGGGAGGACGGGGCAGCGTGCCCAGCACTGTCTCCTTTCCCCAACCCTGCAGCCTCCCAGCCCTCACACCGCGATTTCACACAGAAGAAAACAAAGAAATGGAGACATCTAAGCGGCTCCCCCAGAAGCAAAGAGCAAGCCAGAGGCCCAGGCACATGGTACAGGAGGAGCGCGTGGATGCCCGCGCGCAGCACTCAGCTCCCAGCCCAGCAGCCCTGCCTCTCTCCATGCAGCGGAGAAGGGAAATTTGGGACAGGGAAAGCAACCCAAGGAACCACCTGGCCATACAGGAATATTCAGCTCCTTCAGGCCAACCTACAGCGACTTCAGGAGGAGGTGAAAAAGCAGACACCATGGCCACGTACCTCTAACCTCCTTAGGAAGGACAGGACAAAACATAAGGCCAATGTAAATAAATTGAGGGTTTTAGTTAAAACACAGCTCCGTGTCCAGACAGGAATGGAGCAGTCTGGATTCCAGCACTAAGAAAACCCATCCCAATTTCAAAACAAAGCGATATTGTTTTAACAACCGAGCTGAAAGGGCTGCCTGCTCCAAAAGGCAGCTTCTGCTGCAGCAACAGCTCACCGTGGAGATGCAGACTTCCCGTATCACTTCTTTGTTCCAGTTCAGGTCTTCGGAGGGTGAAAAGGTGCTGTGCCTCAAGTTGATCCTTTCCATGGGCAGGATTCGGCCCTGGGTCTGAACAGAGCCGAAACTGAAAGTGATTCTGGCGCCCCCAACGCTGCAATGCCGCTCCCCCGGCCACCTCAGCTCTGCCGTCCAGCCCACGAGCCCCGCGCTCCAAGTCTAGATGGTGCAACCCACTGGCCAGCTGCTGGCGCCAAGGCAAGGGGGCAAGAACCTGCCGCCTTCGCTCCCCCAGTAAGACCGTGCAACCGACAGCCACCGGGCTGTGTGATCTGAGCACAGCTTAGACAGTTGCTGAGCCCGAATGCCTTTTTCTTGCACTGAAAATCCAGGAGCTGCAAGCAGGACCGCGGGCGAGGAGACAGGGGGAAAGTTATCATTTAATAGATAAGGGCTCGACGGGGCACAGGAGGCACCAAATAAGCATTTTGTTAATGCTGGTTTTGCTGTTTCCAGCCTGGCACAGAAGCTGTCCAAGGGGGTCTTTCGCCATCCCCGAGCACACGTACTCGTGTTGCTGCAAGAGAGATTCC